TCGGTTTTCGTGGGTTGTGTTACTTGGGAGGTGGGTGTAATGTAAAGTGGGATGAGAGTGGGGGTAGGTGGGGAGGGTAAAGATGTAATTTCGTAAAAGTAATTTAATTATTTTTTTTTGGGGATAAGATGTGTTTGGTGGAGGACGTGGTTGTTGTTATTGGTGGACTGAATTTTCTGTTGGGTGGGCCCGCGTGGGGTCCGCCACTAAGGAAGTTAAGCGGTAAGCTGCTAAATGTTGGTTGGTAATGTTTTTGTTTGATTAATATCTAACTTATTTATTTATGCTGAGTTTTGGTTTCTCTTTATTTTATGTTTTATATTTATTTTTTATGCCTAAATCGTCAAATATTTGATCTTTATAGTTTCGAAGTTACAATCTCGTTTATAATTTAGTTGAGTTTTATGAGTTGTCCCTGTGGTTAATAAATTGTAATACCTTATTTTTCTTTCCAATTTTAACATTGTGAATGATACAGGTTCATCATACCTAATGTATTTGTGGCAATTAATTGATATTTTCTATTTGATTAGTTGATTGCATTAAAGTTTAAAAAAAGAATAAAAAGCATGAGAGGAATTGGTAGATTTTTAGGTAGATCATGAGTGAATATAAAGCATTAATTCATTATTATGTATTTGAAACGATAATAAAAGTTTCGCGATATTTATCCAAATGATAAAGCACCAAATTGACAATTTTAAAATCAAACTATTCTTAGAGTAATACAAAATTTGTAACGGTTATAAATCCAACATTTTATTTTTGTCATTGACACTGTTTTAGTTTTCTCACGTTAATTTTTATAAATTATTTAATGAAATCTACACAAAGGTTGGTATTTTATTCAGTTGTTTGATGTGTGAATGTATACTAGAAGAGTACTGTTCTAGTTATTCTAGTACCATGATGTGTCAAGTACCAACGTAGATTTGTAAATCTTTTATTCCTTTACTGGGTTGAATTCAAATAAAAATAGAAATTTTATAAGTTTGGTTGAACCTAACAAATTCGAACTTATTATTAATTTTAAAACTATTTTTTTACTCAATTTTGTTTCATTTAATAATTCTTCGTGAATTATCTATTCTACCATGTCTTTTAAAAAATAATATTTTAAAGATTTTCTTTTAATGTACCCTCTCCCTACCTAAATAAAAATCAACTTATCAATATTGATAGAGTGTTGGACAATATATAAATAAATGTTACCATATTATCATTTATCTTTTTTGGTTATACAATATTTTAAATAAGTGGCATGAATAATTTGAACCAGTCCAATTCAAATATTTTATGGTCGAGTTTATAATTTAATAAAAATTATTTGGATGAAATAAATTTACGACTAGAACATTTAGATTAAATTTAAAATGTCCACCCAATTTATAAACACTCCCAATAACGTGAGAAACAAGAAATTACCAATGGGACCATTATTTCCGTTAGACGAAGCGTTGTATATATCAAATTTCCCGCGAGAATATTATATCCAACATTCTCTTCATTTCCCGCTCCCACGACCATCACGCTTTCTCTACTGTCGCCATTTTGATTCTTCGATCCTTCCGATTTAGCTTCTTCGGATAACCAGTTCTTCTTCTCTACCTCAGAGGTAAACATTCTTTCTGATCACGCTCTGCCTCTTCGTCAATGACGCTGCTGCCCCATTTCTCTGCTGTTTTCGACAATCTTTGTAGGGTTCGATGTTGTCTTTTGAAGAACTTTCACCTCCCGTCTTGCTTGTTTGAAATGAAATGGAGTTCTGTGTCTTCTCTTGCTCTTCATTTCTCTCCGATATTCTTGTTATTAGGTCTTTGAGTTTCACTCTTCTGATTGTTCCATTACTGTGGGCTCTTTGTAGGGTTTGATGTTGTCATCGTTCTGTCGTCTTTGAAACCCGCACCAAATAAATTGTTATTATGATTGAAACGGACTCCATTTTTTTTCATCTGTAATTATTAAGAAGATGTGGAGCAGATTATTGGGCCATCAAACTCGTGAAGAGGCCAGTAATGGTATTAACTAACATGGAAGTTTTGGTTCAGGTAATCATCCGGGCCAGTGTATAAAAAGACATTTGAAATTATTACAGTAGCGAGGAGAGCTTATGGACAAAAAATGAAACTCGTCGAGAGGCCAGTAAAGGTATTAACTAACAGGGAATTTTTGGTCAGGTAAAATTAGGCTAGACAATAAGATAGAAACAAAAGTAGATCTCTCTCTTGGATATTTTAACATTCTGTATCGAGCTTGTGTAGTGGCTAATTCAAAATTGCTCCACATCCGGGTTTATGAATGTCGTTAGTTTTTATTCTACTTGTGGGACTGTTCGAGTTATATTACTCAAGACTTGGTCTCCTTGTTACTTCGTTGTCTTTAGTTTTATTGATATCTCGAACTTCCTACGCTTTTCAGTACATACGTTTTGTCTTGATATGACTTTTCTCTTTATTACCGTATTTTGTATAGACAATGTTGCATGTTGGAGAAAGGAATGTGAAAAATGAATTTGGATTCAAGTGGGGCTTGAAGACTAAAGTTGTAAAGGAGAAGGGGTATCAGTTCTACGAATCATTTTTATGCAATGGGTTGGAATACTTTCTTTATGATTGTGTGTACATTTACCACAGAGGTGACTGTGAAACCACCATAGGCAGGCTTGTGAAAATGTTTGAAACGAGAGCTCACGAACAGAAGGTCAAGGTGGTGCGTTTTATGCGTCCAATTGAACTACGTGATTTTCCGAGAGATTTTGAGCCACGTTGGAATGAGATATTCTTGGCTTCTGGCGAGAGTGCTGGTGTTTCCAAATGTTATCTTTTGGTAAGTTGAATTTTTCACGCATAAGCAAATTTAAATTCTGGCTTTCATGGTATAGGCTGCAGTAGCGAAGGGGATTTCTAACTATTCAATTGTTTTAGCATTGGTATGTGATCTTTGCCTGATATACGGTTTTTATGTGAGCTCTTAACTCTTCCTTTAAGCATGAAATATGTACCTATCATCTTGCAAAACTTTTCATTTTGTCTATGAGCTTGGAGGTTAGAGTTCATTCATGATTATGCAAGCTTTAGTTTTCATGTGATGTTTAGGATAACCAGTCTATGCAACCTATAGTTTAAGAGCTTTTAATCTTTAACATAAATAGATGTTACATAGAATAAGATCGATTTGACGAGAGATATAACTAGCTCAGTGCTCAATTGATGGTAACCAGATATTAACTTGGGAACAATTTGAAACTCCTAATTACATTGTCCTGGACTAATATTAATCCTCTGCAAATGTGGAAACGAACTCTTCAAAGTTCTGCTAAGTATCCAATATTACCTTTCCTCTATTCACCCGACTTTTACTTCTGTAATTTAGGAAGAAGTTATTAGAAAATGCAATGTTGTTTGCACCCTCAAGGATGGGAGAAATCCTCAGCCATCCGACGCGGAGTTGAATTCGGCAGATTATATTTTCTACCGTACTTATGATGTTAAAAAATGCATGATCCTAGAGGACTTTCCAGATGAAATTGATCATATTAAAGGTTAGACATCAGTCACTTTTCATCACACTTCAAATCAGCATGTAGTTCTGCGTAATTATATTCTTCAAGGAGAAGCTCTGGCCTTAAAAGGCTATGCTTGTTGAAAACTAAGCATTTACAACCATAATGTTTTTGTAATAAGTGCATTATATTTTGAGCTTTGTATAAAAATAATAACTTATAAATTGCTAGAAATTCAGCAAATTAGAAGTTGCCTCTTATTATTTTTCTTGTCTTTCTAGTTTGAGAGTGCTCGTAAAATATGTGTTTTTTTCTTTCATTTTAGTAAAAGGTAATCAGTAAAAACTTACTTAGACGTTTGACGTTTAGTTCTGTACGTTCTTAAAAGTACTTTTGATTATTTCTTAATTATCTTGTGTCAAAAGTACTCTTCAAGTACTTTCTCAGAAGCACTTTAAAATAGTTTTGACTTTTTTAAAAAATATTTTTATGTTATTTTCACACGTGAGAATTTTTTAGAGGAGAGTACTTACTAGCCGTGAATGACACCCTCAAACATAGCCTGCCGTTAGTCACACTTTAACAATATTGTCTATTCGCTGCAGTGGAGTGCCTTTTTAATAGAGAACCAGATGCAAGGCAGAGTAACCAAAAAACCATGGGGGAGCTTGGTGGAAATTCTAGTCTTCCCAAGTTTGGACGAGAAATAATTTGTGGAAGCAAAAGTCAAATGGCCAGTTCAGACAATGTATATGGCTTATGTTTTATTTTCTCAACTCCATTTATTTCATAGTTTTTTCGTTCCTACCTGTTCAGAATTAAAGAAATGCTTATCTAGAGAACAAGAATTGGTGCTCTTTTTTAATGGTTGCAAGACCTTGCAGCACAAAGTTCTTGTTAATATAGAAGTGACATTGAGACCAAGAAAATTTATCAGGATCAAAACAATTCCAGAGTGAGAGGTTTCTAAGATTTGTCACCAACAATTCAGGTGGAGGTGTCACCTTGTAAGAAGACGAAACTTCTTTCAGATGGCAATGGTCGAAATGTTGGATCTGTGAAAGGAGCCTACAATGTGAAGGCAAGTGAGATTTCTAAAAGAGCAGCACCTCAACTCAAGCTTATTCAAGATAAGAGAAGGTGTAAAAGCACTCAACTTTTGCAGGTCACCAAGAAGCTAATAATTGTAAGTACTTGGTCAGTTAGGATTTAAGGTTTAGAGTTTAGCCACACCATAGTAAGCAGCAATACTTCAATTTTGCATTTTTTAAAATGTTGTAGAATCAATCAGTAGTTTTAAACCACTACTGTTTCATAATTCCTTTGTGTCATGATGTTTGCAGGACAGAAGTAAATGGTTCAAGCAACCGGTAAGTTCCCTTTTCCATACACATGTAGTCATGTTTGGTGTTTGACTACTGCTAATTATAGTTTGATTTGGACCATCGGATCACTCTGGCCATATAAGATTGATTACCAGGATAAGTGCTGCTATTGTCCCAATAAACTCGCCTTCATCACCTGTTTTCTATATTGTAAATTAATCTATGAAAACTTAAAATTTCATCTCATAGAGGACACAAAACTCCCTTAAACCCCCTATATTCTTGATGTTCAAAAAATCCCCCGGGATACCAAGTGTTGGCTATTAATAGTTTTACTAGAAAATGAAAATGACTAATGAAACCGAAAATACTAATTGGCAAGGTAATAAAAGTTATTAAATTAATCTACTAAAAAAAAATAATCAACTCGATTAATTATTTAATTTTTGTTTCTTACACCTTAAGTTATTAACAAGCGTTGCCTTCTTGTATAAATTTGTAGCCTTGGGAGCACAGATTGCGACAAGCTCAAGAAGTGGGAACACTTGTCTTATTGGAAAATCTGGATTCAACACTTTCATCATCAGAAGTGGAGGTAGATGTGTTTCACAAAATTAAACAGTAGTTGATCGTTAGAACGGTGAAATCATTTGTTAAATCTTAGTTTTTTATTTGTTATAACTTATAGATGTATTTACAAAATCACCCATCTGATCATAGTACCTCGTGAACAATCATTCTGACTGTTACATAGGCTATAAAATATGCCCACAAAGTAAGAAAAAGGTGGCTTGAAATCGTAGGACATCTTGAATCAGATGGGAAGTGAAATTTGGGGGACCAACTGTGCAGAATCTTTATAATCATTTGTATTGATTCTCATTCTATTTTTCTTGGCAGGAATTAGTTCAAAAGGCTCTCAAGCAAAAGGTTGATGCCAACATGTTGCCGTGCAGTTCGATTTCAAATCCACACTATGGTATTCTTATATTTTTTAAATTTTTTTTGGGATAAAAACTTGAGGTTATATTCAATTTCGAACATCCGTGTAGCAGAACATGGAAACTGATTTTTTCATGTCTTTTCAGGCAAGGCTTTAGTTATTTTCAAGTCAAAGGCAGCAGCTGAAACTGCCTTGTCAGATTTGACGAAGAGATGTCTAATGCTTTCAACTTCTGATGGGAGGTAATATTGATTTCTCCATTTCTTAAGAAAACAAATATCGACTTCATTGATTTTTTTATTTGTATATATGCCATATTTTAGGAACCTGATATCTTGCAATGGAAATTGACAGAAAATACTCTGAAATGTATTACAATATAGGAAGGAAGATTACGATAAACTTGGGAAGCATGGACTCTCCCAAAATTATTCTCACAAATTCTACTTATCCATATCTCTCTAACCTTTCATTTATAAATACTTCCCCCTAAGTTATTATTATTTTGCTATTACTTAATATCTAATAATACGTCCGATATTGTCAAACCAGTTAAGACATCTTGTTCCTTTCCTAGAAGTTGGAGGTTTAATCCACCCTCTCCATCTTTGTTGTACTCATAAAAAAAAGAAAAAGGAAAAAGGCCTAATATTTCTATTGAAATATTGCTAACACCATATTTAGATTTGGCCTTAAAGAAATAAAGGTTCTATTGCCATGTTTAATTGCAGTGGTTTTAGACCCGTAGTTGGTAGCAGAGGATTCTTAGCCGATTCTAGCAAACGAGTCAATTTTGTTGGCCATCTGTCCCTCCCAAAATTATTGCGTCAAAAGTATACTATGGAGATGGTAACTCACTTTTATATATTGATTATGATAGTACATGCTTATTAGAATATCCCTTGCCGATTTTAAAGTACAATTCTAGTGTTCTTTTTTAATATTTTGTTCGCACATCTCTCAGAAAAATGCAATATCCACGTCACATTGCTCTCAGCCCAATACTGTTGAGTGGGATCTGGCAATGGAGTGGCGACTATTGCAAGAACGGTCGGATTTGTGGTGGAAAAAGTTGCATGCGGTACTTAGTACTATGATCTGTTCTAACCATTTGGTACTATTGAATATATGCCACATTTATTTCAAGATTTTTAATTTTTAAGCTTGGTATTTCACCTTACATATTGATTATATGGGTATTTGAAAAAAGTTTGTAGATTATTGTGACTGTAAGACGGTAAAGGGCTTTCGACTACAGCTCATGGGTTAAGTTTATCTATTCTGAATTTGGGAAACCTAGTTTACATTTGATATAGTTTGCGTATCTTAAACTAAGAATACACTTAATCTTAAAGGTTAATAATATTCAGCTACACAAACCCCAAATTTTGAAACGTACTGTTCAGGCTTTATACACGAGCTTTTATAACTCACCAACTTATGAACCAAAATTACTTCTTGCTCTGATTTGGCTTATCTAACTTGTAGAATCAAAATGAGGAGGTACTCAATCTTAAGAGACAGCTAAAATTAAAGTAAAGTGTGCTTGTAGCTTGATCTAGACTCTGGTGAGCACATAGGACATGAGTCATGGTCCTTCCACATTCTCTTCCGAAAGACAACTTTTTGCGGATAACTAATGATGGAGTTGTTTATAATTTGCAGGCATTCTTTCTCCAAACCCGATGTAGATATTTTGGTAGCATGATACAGTCTCACTAATTCAAAAAATTTCAAAGGTTTCTATGACTTTCCCCACGAGCATGCATATTTCTTTTCCTTTGACATATGTGAATGTTTGGGCCAACTTACATACATCTCTGAGCATGAAATTTTTATCAGTTCTATCTTAATCTTCTCAATTATGTCATGAGATCGAATGGGTTTTGTCTCGCTCATGAACTTGATGCGAGGACCTTGTTGAAATAAAATTTAGCCTTTCCTTCCATAGAAACTGTTTATGAATCTCTATTTCTTATCAAGTCTAATATTTCTAGTTTTGAAATCGTTAAATGAACAGCCATTTTGTTGAGTTCGTCTCGTGCCAGGTTGCAGCAGCTGCAAATATCTCACAAAGCTACTCGTGTCTCGTGATCTTTTGCAATCATATTAAAGCTCGATATCCATTCATGAGTTACAATATTTCCTCTGCAGGTTTATTCTTAGTGAGGATGGAGCAGTCAAAAGGTTGACTGTGACAACAGCAATGTATTCAACTGTATTTTGTTTTACAAGGTTGAACAAATTGAAGGGATTGAACTTGTTTTGGTGTCTGTCTTTTGCAAGCATTAGATTAGCAACTTTCAAGTTCTGCATCGAAAATGTTCAAAACAAACCCCAACAGAAATTTAGTGTCGTAGTCAATTTTTGCATGCTATTATGTTAGGCAGTTAGCTTCGTAAAGAGAGTATTTGCTGAAGTTTTAAGGAATTAATCCTTTCCCTAGCCCCCACACTAAAGAAGTGACTAGAGTAAAAGAAGTGATTTATCAGAGAAGACACAGATATGTTGAGTATTAAGTATTTTCTTTCATAAGTATATTGGAGAAAATAAAATATTATGTTTAACTGATTCAATAGAGCGTGGTCATGCTTCTTCAATTTATCTCTTTCAACCTTGATACTATGAAACGGATCTTGAAAATGAAATCTAAAATAAAATTAAAAGATTCTTTTAAAAATCCAAGACCAATACGACCATTTTAAAAGTATAAGAATCAAGGTAAATCTCATGAAAGTACAAGAAAAAAAATAAATAAAATGTGAAATTACAGTAACCAAAATGGTATTTTAATCAATTTATTTGATAATCAATTTACAGTATCTTCTAAAGAAAAAGAAAAAAAAAAGAAAGTAAGATTACTTAGTTCATACACTCAAGATTAAAAAAAAAAAGATTATTATTCGTTTGTTTATATTATTACATCAACATCGAATCGATTAAGACCATAGATTAAACGTACATGAACTAAAATAAATCAAATTGAAAGTATAGATACTAAAATAAATATGGTTTAAACTTAAATAATAATAATGATAAAAAATCCTGCGGCACGTGCGACGTTTTGCCCTCGTGCCAAATCATTGGGCAAAACCCCCCTGCCCAGCCACTCTTGACTTGTTCCTTCCTTGTTCGTCCCATTTCCGAAAGCGCAGACGCCGAAGTTCGCCGTCCAATCCAGTCCAGTCCAATCCAATCCAATCCAATCCAAGGGGTGCGACCTGAGATCACTGCCGGAGAAATCACCGATCACAATCTACCATGTGGAGGAGATTGCTCTCTTCGCAGCTCAAAGCCCTAAAATCTCTTCCCTCATCATCCCCCAACCCTTCCTTGGGACGCATTTCTCAAGCCACACGACTCGCTGCTTCATCTCACGCTTCTCCTTCCCCTTCTGCTCCGCTCTTCCATCGCCATTACGCCTCTGATTCTGGTAGATCTTATTGTTTTCTTTCCATTTTACACTCTCTGTAAGTGACTGTATGGATGAATCTGTAATATGAGTGCGAATGTTGAATTGATCTCGCGTGATTGTTAATTTTGTTTAGCTGATTCCGGTCTCAAGAAGAAGGTTGAGGATGTAATGCCAATTGCAACCGGTCACGAGCGCGAAGAGCTTGAAGCCGCACTTGAGGTGATACTTCTCGTTTCTTTTCCGTTTCGTGCTTTCATTTTTCTTATTTGGTGCGGACCGTTTTCAAACTGAGACTGGTATAATATGTTAATATTTTGGCTGGCCTCTGATGTCTTTCTCATTCTGGGGGTGGGTCTCATTTCAGTTGGTTTAATGTTTGCAGGGAAGAGATATCCTTGATATAGACCATCCCGTTGGTCCTTTTGGAACTAAGGTTAGTGTAATTTGTGGTTAATTTTATCTTAGCACGCTTTTGGTTGTTGGAAGTAACTCCTCACATGCTTTAGTTTCATTTTAACTTTCGTTCCATATAGATTTCATGGCATGGGTGATACAATATCACTCGAGGTTACTTCCACTTGAAACTTGAGCAGCGGTTTTGTTATGCTATCTTCTCTGTTTAAACTTTTTCATTAACTCCTCAACACGTTTGCAAACAGATTGTTACGAATTTTGGTTTCTCTCCTGATTATTTACGCCTTTTGTCTTTCTTTCATGCTCTATCGTGTATCATAAGTTGTTATTGAACTAGAATTAACAATACCCGGAAAGGTTCTACTTGATTTTGATTTTTTGGATAAGGAAGAAATTACTCACACTATGGATAAACAGTTATTTCCTCTTTTTCAACCAAGGATATGACAGAAAACACTCCAGTTGGTTTCAATTAGGCAAAAAAGAGAAAATAGTGATGTAGTGTGCGACATCTAGAATCAAGAAAATTTGCAAGTTCCTCAATAGCTGTCTCACTTCTGGCATTCCCCTTAAGATACCTTTGTTCTTCACCAGCTAGCTAGCCCAAATCAAGTCTGAAAAATAGGGTCATTCAAAGAATATTAGGCTTCCTTTTAATTGCTATAACTGATAATCTTAAGCCATTCTTCTAAACCCTACCTTTGGCATCTTGAATCGGGTCCTATTATTCCTTATGTATCATTTTATTTTATCTGGTTGAAAAGTTTCTTTGTTTTGGAAAGTTAAATGCTTGTGATTGGTTGCAAAAACATTGGCTGTTCCCTTTCTTCACTATCTAAACTGCCGTTCAATTGTTATAAAGCACATTAATTGGCAATTTCTACTTTTCAGTATAGTGATCTTTTCATAATTTTTGTACCATATGTTGATATGTTCCTATTCCAGTTTGATGTTATTCGGGGTACTCCAAGAGATATGCATTCTCTCTTTAGTTTTGATATATTGGAAGATCGCTAGTCAATGATGGAATGCCTTTTGGATATTTTCAGTTTCAACTCTTTGTTGCACAATATGTTGTTTTCTGTTAAAACTCATATGGGTTAATAGGCCATTGATGCTATCTGGTCAACACCACTTAAGGTTGAAGAGACTAAAAACTCTGCACCAAATCTTCTTCTTCTTCTTTTTTTTTTCAAAATTACCACAAATATACATGTGGCCCTGATTTTCTCCATCATGATGACATAATACCAACTTGGGATACAAATTATAGGATGGGGAAGTATTTCCCTTTCCAATATTTTATTTTGTCAATTCTCATTTGAAAATGGTGTTGTTTAAGTGCATTTAGGGTACAGTGTGCTAAGTGTCACGGTCGTACATTTTTCAACCGCGTGGCGCCATGATCTAAGCTCGACCATGGCCAGCCTTACGAGGAACACTAGCCCCAATCTACTTTTCGCGCCCTTTATGGCTTCGTCGGACCTTAGACGAGGTTCTTTCTTCCTCGACTCGGCTTCATTTCACTTTTCCAACCCTCTTGGTTCTCGGCCACTCGGCCGTCCCGCTCCTACGATGAGCCAGGACCTTACCGGGATGAGTTCTGACATATAACGAGGTCAGAACGAGCTTAAAACGCCAACCGGGTACAATCGGGACATTCCTGCCGCTTAACTATGTTAGAACTAGCTTATCGGACCCATCGGACGTCTCTAGGACCATTCCTGCCGAGAAACTAGTCAATAACGGGCTAAACGGCCTTACCAGGTACTGCCGGGATGATTCCTGCCGAGATCCGGACAAGGAATGACTAAACTTGGTAACCGGGATGAGTCTTGCCACTTACCGGGCCAAGACTAGCTTTTTCTCACTTACCGGGTGTCGCCGGTACTGTAGGATGCCACCCCGAGCATCGGGATGTCATCGGACTTC